TAATACATGCTCTATTCTCAGTCCAGAGGTTTCTGTGCAAAATTAAATTAGCTCCTGTTACCACACTGTTGCATCATATGCTCCTCACCTCCTGAGTGTAGATTTCTCTATCCATTCCCATACTGCAAGCAATGTTTGTGCCCCACACAGAAAAATCCCCTACTGGGGTCAAGAAATTCTGAACACATTAACTGCTTTTACATTTTGAAGATCTCCCTCCTCTACTGCCTTTGGTACAGTTTGCAAGTCCAGTTTGCTTTGAAGCTGGACCTGAGCAAATTTTTACCCCTAAAGTATTTGCAATGAATTTTACTTGTTAATGAAATTATGTCCACTTTACTGGAAGCACATCAGCAGCCCCCAGCTGCTGATACTGCCCTTACATCTTTAATACCCTTTTTTCTCCACAAATTCAAAAGGCTGTTCGTAACAGTAAGGAAAATGCTGCATTATCCTGGAGGGGATGAGGGGAGGGACAAAAAGGAAATAGATCCCATGGTATTGGAGTGATTAATGTGACTGTTTATGATGAAGGAAATGAAAACTAGAAATCTGTGTAAGTAATGGTCTTTCCAAGTGAATAACTTTCACTGGAACCACAATACAAACCCATATGCTGATCTCCTTTAAATTACTGCTTAAGTTTCCAAAGCAAAGCAGGGGTGACACTGAAAATTTTTCCTCCCTTGTGGATTCTGAGGAGCACAGATTTTCCGGCAATAGCAGGAGAGGGGTTCATTGCGAGATGCACACATGCCATCACCTCTCTTTAAAATGTGAGGTGCTTTGGTGATAGGTTTGAGTAGAAGGGCTTCAGAGGCATGTGTAGCACTGTCCATCAAGCCTGGAGAGCTGGAGCAAGGCTTCCCCTGCATACATCATCCCCCACACTGACACGCAGGCTGAGTGTGCTCAGTGGGAGGAACAGGACCAAAGTATTTTTCATGAAGATATGAGCCTAATACTGCAGATTGGAAGGATCAGTTATCCACCTGCCAGCCATCTCAATCTCTGGCAATAGTACTTCCCTGGCCTCAGTTATTACAGTACGTAACTGCTTCACAAGCAATAATATATTTATCTTTTCATCCTCCCTATGGAGATGAAAAGTGCCATTACCTCTGTTGCAGAACTAAGAGCTGAGATTAAGGGTCAGATTTGTTATAGCATTTAGGTGCTCAGTGAGATTTTCAAGAGTACTTAATACCCATTGTAATAACTGGAACCTGGGAACGTTGATAGTTCTGAAAACCCTGTTACTTGTGTCTTTTTGTTTAAAAGTTTGTACTTTAGGGACACCCTGGAGTCCATAGGAGTGGTTCCTGTGTTTTGGGTAGTCACCCAGACTGTTCTGTTCATCCATCTACTAGGAGACTGTAGGTGAGACATGAGAAATTTTGTGGCAGTAGCTTATCTCAGTCCTGAATTCCATAAGCTGTAACTCTGTGGATAGCAGTGCCCAGATCTGTGAGAGAGGTCAAAATCCAGTCCTGCAAATACTGGAGCAAAAATAAGCAGCACCCATGGTCAATAAAAAGGGCTTATGTGCCAATTGCTGGGATGGAAAATTCAAGAGCAGGAGCAAATAATGAAACAATCTATATTCATGCAGCCACCTTTCCAGCCTACTGCTCTAAGTACGGGCTTACACCTAACTGGGAGATGGGAATCCTACTAAAAGCTCCAGAGGATCACACTGGAAAACAAATGTTGATTTTGAACAAATTATCTGTTCATCGCTAAATCATTTTCTTTCATTATTAGTCTCCAAATTGGTTCTGCTCTGGAAGGCAGAATTAGGTTTAAAAGCAGAGTGTGTCTTAAACACTTGCTTCAAATGAAAGTATTCAGTAAACATTACTCAAAGCCCCAGAGCATAAACTCCTCAACTGCTTTCTCTGGCTTTGCATAGATTTTGAAGCTCCTGGTCTGGGGACACGTGTTTCAGGGATTCATTTGGGATATCAGAAAATAATCAAATTAAATTCCTTACAATCATATGCCCCTCAAATGCCAAGGAAACACGTTTTTAAGACCTTTCTATCCTCCTTTACAGTAGCATAAATTGGCACAAAAGTCCCATGCAAACAGATGGACTTACACCAATATCAAACATGGAGGAGAGTGAAGAGTCAGGCTCCAAACAAGTAGGCATGTGGGCTGCAGCCCAAATTTTTCATTATTTTAAGAACTGCACTTTGCTTTTACAGTACTTGCACTCATTTCCGTAGTTTTACGGTTCTAAAAAATTCCTTGAGCTTCAAAATTTTATTTTTAGTATTAAAGGGTTGGGTTTGGGCTGATTCAGTATGTCAGCAAGATTGATTCATTTAAGATGATGGAGTGAGGGTCAGCTCAGCAAGGTGGGTGATTGAGCAGCAGCAAAGACCCAGAGTTGTTGTGTATTTGTCCCATGTCACACTGTGAGGAGGTGCTTGAGAGGGTCTTTTGTGCCTCCATGAGCCAAGAAGCCCTGCACGGATTAGAATGTGTCTAAAATCAATAAGCTTTCATCAGTGCTGTTATTCTGCCTGTTGGTTTTCATCGGGTGGAGGAGGGAGAATGACTCTTTCACTTTGTTAGATGTGACAAGAGGATAAAACTTTGGGAAGATGTTATCTTGTACACTCCATATCTTTGGTAGCTTATTCAAAGCACACGTTTAACTCAGTTTGATGTTTGTGGGATCTGTGTGCATAAGGAAAGAGAGGCAAGAAGGTCCTCTATTTATCCTCCCCCACCATGAAAAGACATTCACCAATTTCCATTAAAGGTTTAGGACTGGGAGGCTGCTCCAGTAGGAGCAGGACTTGAGTGCTGCTGCTGCTGCTGCTGCAAAGGAGCATGTTTTTACTGTGTGGCCTGAACACTGTTTTGCACTCACAAGATTTATTTCTCAGTTGGTAGAAGAGCTACAAGATTAACACATGAACAAATACACTGAGACAGCCAGGACATCAAAGAAATTGGAGAGTCACTAAAATGTTGGAGAGCTGAAGAGTCACCTGGCCGTGTTCTTAGGAATAAGAACATCTTATCCTCAGATTAGCTCAGCTCTCTTGGGGTTTGGACACATCCTCTGGTGAATTTAGCTACAGTGACTCAAGACATAACTGGCCCCAGCTCTCTGCTGCTCCTCCTGAGGGTCCTGCTGTGGAGCAGAGGTGGCAGGAGGGAATGTGTGCCTGCCTTTCAGCCACTGCAGCACAGATCTGGGGGCTTAGTGCAAGCAGGTGGTCCTGCATTTTTCAGGGTAAACACCAGTCTGTGAGGTGTCTCTGTGTTAAGGGTGACAGCGTACTGCGTTCCTGGGCAGAAATCTCCAGGGAAAATGTGGGTCAGACAGTGTGTTAAGCCACCCTAACAAAAGCCACCAGAGTTCATGTGTCAGAGCCCTACAGCTGCGCTCTGTGACCTTTTACCATGAGGAAATTCTAACTGATATTGGAAAGGCAGCTATTGCAATTGGGAGGTCAGAGGGAATCATATCCCAGGTAGCACTATTTAATGGCAATCACTCTTTGCAAGCTTTTTCTCCTCCATGCAATCTGCAATTCAATGAGGCGGGGAAAAAAGTAACAACAGTCTTAACCTTGGGTTCCTCATACAGGAACCAGGCAAGGGGTGATACGAGTGAAAGGTTTATGTAAAATGTAGCTTCCTTGCAGACAACAAAAAGCAGCTCAGAAGAACTGAGCAGAGGCTGATAACCATGAGACCACGCTCATTCCTGTATATGCCTCCGTTGTTCCCTGAAATTTAGATTTAGTTTAAGTCAGACAGGAAATTATGCAGGAATTTGGGGGTCTTGAGGAAAGTTGTTCAAAAAGCAGCAGTATGAAACCAACAAAAAGAGGGAAAGTCATAACTTGATAAGTGCCACACAGAGAGAGCTGTGTACCTTTGCTTTATTGAGCTGTTGGCTGCAATAAATACAGCTGAATTCCCTCAGTCTCCCATAATGCTGTCTCAGTACCAGCAGGAGTTCGTTTAAGAATACACTTACTTGCACAAATGATTATATATAGGAAGAGCAGAGAAACAGCTGATTCAAGCAAACCCTGAGAGCTGGCCTAGTGAACTGGGGGTGGTGGTGGGCTGCCCCTGCTTCGCTTTGGTCAGTGCTGGCAGCTCAGAGCAGGCAAAGCAGAGGAGCTTCTGTTCCTGCTTCACCTGAGGGGATCATAGTCTGTGATGGTACAGTAAATAAATGGTGATAAAATCAACTAGAGAGGCTATTCCCAAAGAGGGAGAATTGTTTTTTTATTATTTTCAATACAGAAAGTAATGAGACTGTATTACAAAGAAGAGAAGAGACAGGTATAAACCAAGACCTAACAATGGATAATCAACAAGGAAGACTGAATCTTGCACTTCTGCATCTTACAGCATTAACCCCAATTGCCTGAAGTGAAAGGCTTGGCTGTGTTACAGTGCTCTAACAGGGTTGTCAGATCCCTGTGCAGTGTGTCCATGGTTAGGAGGAGCTGAAGCACTGCAGAGCACATGGTCATGAGCCTAGGACTAGAGACCACAAAGTTTGGGGTCTTCAGCCTGATTGTTTTAATCTATTTCCTTGTGTCTTCAAACCCTTTCAAATCTCACATTACAGGAAGTCAGGAGGACTAATTTATTCCTGCTTGAACAGTTGTTTGAGGAAGAGAAGCACTTGCACTCTCTGTGTAGACAGCTTTGCTGATATTCCCCGGTAGCACTGATTAGTTAGAAAACTCCACCAGAAATAAGAGCGAGCTGATCATGGGGGCAGCTTTATTGCACCTTGTGTCTTGACCCAGCAGAGAAAAGCTGACATAAAACATTAGTAGGTCAGATTTGTGCTGTGTTTTACCTCATTGTGCATGAATTCTTTCCTCTGACTAAAGCAGGCGTGGGTCTGAGCATCAGTAGGTCCTGAGGAGCAATGCAGGGCAGCAGTTGGCTGCCTGAGACTGAGCACGAATGTTCAACCCACCAGGCTCTGTGACCCCTCTGTGTTCCAGGCTGGAGTCTCCCACGCGCGCGCTGGTGATGGAGGCTCCGAAAGGCATCGAGATCAACGCCGAGGCCGGCAGCTTGAAAGCCACGTGCAGGACAGAGCTCAGGCTGGAATCCAAAGATGGAGAGGTAAGCGAAGCACATCCAGCCCTGCAGCAAAACCAGGCCAAGCCACGGATCTCCCGCATGTCTGTAGCCTCCGAGGTTACCGAGCCACGGTGTTTGAAGTGCTGGTGTGAAGGCCCAGGTGCAGCAGGCTTTCCTATCTTTATTTCTGCTGTGATTGAACACATCACATGCAAATGGGACTCACTCTGTGGCAAGGGCTGATTCATTATTTTTAAAGTGCGTGGATAATAGCATCTGTTGTTCCAGCAGATTTATGCAGCTGTAAAATACACAGTGCTCCTAAATTCTTTGTTCCCTTGTCACTTTAAAACAAGATTTACTTTGCCAACGTAATTAAATCTTTTATCATACATTTTTCTATAAGAAGAGCTTAATTCACCGGTATTGATCTGAAAAGCTTTTGTAGTAGATGTTTCATTTTGGAAAGAAAGGACACATTAGGAAACACAAGTTGTTACACTGGGGAAAATTCCAAAGGGGAACTGTTCACCTCATGCTGTTTTGTATGGAGAAATTCAGGTCTGTTATAGCATTTAAGTTATTTTTAATATACACAAAAGTGTTAGATATACATAAATTTAAAGTATACATTGAAGTCAGTGCTGTGAACCTGCAAGCATAACCGGCAATGGGGTCACAGTGACAGAACTCCTGGTGGAGGAGAAGGGGTCTTTGGAGGTGAATCATAACACCCATCACCTTGCAGTGGGGATTACCCCAAGCTCGGGTTGGGGAACCCAAATGTGGAGGTGCCCTGGGAAGCCACAAGCCAAGGACACACAGTGGGTAGATTAGCAGAAACAAACTGGAGGTCGCAGGTGACTCATGGTAAAGGCAGATAATGTGCTTACTCAGTTTTATATCAGACTTCCCCATCTCAATACACTTGCTTACCCATTTTTTGTAGCAACTGAGTTGACTGAAGGAAGCTTCTTTAAACACAGCATCAAAAATAACAGCTCTCTGCTAATTCTCTCTCCTTTTTTTTTTTTTTTTTCCTCTCTCTCCCCCCACCTCCGGCTTCAGATAACGTTGAATTCTGCAAAAATCAAACTACCTAACTTGCCTCAAGGATCTTCCTCTTCTGCAGGGTCCAGGCAAAAAATCTACGAGCTCTGTGTGTGTCCCAATGGGAGGTTATTCCTGTCTCAGGCAGGCAGTAGCTCGACCTGCCAGATAAATACAAGCGTCTGCCTTTGAGAGACAATTTGCAGTGGGGCATCGCAGGCAGCACAAAAGCCAGTTCTGGTCTCACAGATCTCAGCTGCCAACTATTTTTACTAGAACACAGAAAGCCTATCAAAGACTTTTTTTGTGTGTGCGCGCGCGTGTGTGTGAATATATATATAAAAATATATATATAAAAAATATATATATCCTCTGTGTAAAATGATGTTTCAGTACAAGGAATCCCAGGGTGACCCTGTTACATTTGTGTAGCATTTCTCTTTCCCCCACCAAAATTTACTGGTACAATCTGATGAATTGGATCTGATGCTCCCCTGGACCCTTCTGTATTAATGCAGTGTCATGATCACCCCTCGTTTTTGATCATGTTCTCAGAGCAATGGGATTGCTGGCTGGTCAAGACCCTGGAACCCATGTAGACCCACCAACATACAAAGGGAAGAGAAGCATCTCTGATTATTTTTGCACCATTAAATCAGTGGCATGGGAAAAAAAGTAAATTAAAAACAAAACAACGAAATAGCCAGATGTGCTGTACTGATCACCTGCAGTCATCCAAGGTATCCGAAGTTAAAAACACTCTTTAATTATCACCCAAAGCATGGCTTCCTGTTGGGAGAGATGGATGCACTTGGCCAGTAGGAAAGTCCAGATCTTGCTGGAATAATCCATATGATTTTCTGAAGAGGTTCAACACTTGCCTGTGCATGGCCAAGGATGTCTTGTGCTATTCAGATGGGATGCATCAGCTCAAACACTGACATAAAGTTCATCCTTGTGCTAACAAAACTGCTGTTATATTTGGTCACTGGAAGAAAAAAAATTGTGAAAGTTGGACTACACAGAAAAATCCTGAACCTCCTCATTTAACAGGTGTCCTGGATGACCCTACACACGCTCCATTAGCACCTTCAATTCTGAACACATCTGGCGCAAAGGTGTGAAGATTTAAGATTTGGACATTGCCTAAATACCTATAGAAACAGAAAAAGTTACCTATCCTACCCTTAGAAACTGAGAAAATCATACAAATGAGGTGTATAATGCAGATGCTATGCCAGAATTTTTTTCCATCTTTCTTTTCAGGATGTACAGTCCAAGGCCACTTAGATTTGGTGGAGACTGCAAATATCAGAGATGCTGACAATGAAACAGACTTTTTTAGAGAATTTATAAAGATTTTGACAAAGCCAGATGACTAGAAAACAAGGGCTCTGGATGCTGTTTCCTCTAGAATTTGATCCCCCAAAACTGTGAATATTTTCATGTTTGCATTTTTCGCTATTTCAAAGTCTACGAGTCACTTACAGGCAGGATAAAACATGAAATCTGATCTGGTGACGTTCTTTCCACTGTTCAAATTTCAGAAAATAATAAGAGCCCAGATCATTGAATTCTGACCCATAATTGCATCGACAAGCATGTAAAAATCTTTGAAAAACAAATATACTAATTATGGCGAGAGTTTCCAAGTTGCCGTAAATCTCACGAGGACAGCAAGGTTTCTAAGACACTGAGATGCTTTTGAAATATTACTTCATGTGCAAATAAGACAGATCTGTGTCCATACCTAGTGATATCTAACCAAAGCTGGTGTTCTTCAAGCAATCTTCAGCATAAAATGCAGATGACAGAAATCTTTAGAATTAATTTAGCCCATTCCTTTTTTATAACTTTTCACATATTTTCTTGTGGTCTGGAGAGTACCAGGGTTTGATTTATTTATTATTTTTTAAAGAACAATTCTGGCTTAACCCAAAACTGATTGGACTCAAAGAGAAGATTTCTATGGAGTTTAGATTAGATATGTTGTTGCCTAACAAAGCAGCACTCCCGTAAAATTTACTCCCAAAAGAGGATTGAATAATTTACTTTTATCTTAGTAATGCTTTCCAGTGAATTAATGATTTCAAACTATTTGTTAATGAATGATTCCTGTAATTATTTTGTCTTGAGTCAACATTTGAATGCAAAGGGTCACCCAGGATAACAATTGTATTGGGACACAGGACTATACCATCTCTGTTCAAAGAGGGGAATTGTGCCTATGCCTTAAGTCAATGCACTCAGCAAGGAGAAGCACATCATATTTATCTTGTTATTAAAACTAGTTTATTTGGGGGGGAGGGACAGGAGGGTGTCTTGGGAACTGGTTGTGCAACTTAAAACAGATACTGATGAAATACATTAAGATTGTAGGGGCACCTAGAATGATACAGACTTTTTTTTTTTTTTTTTTTTTTTTTTTACCATGTTAAATATAGCAAAATACTGTGTATGTTACCTCTGGGACCACAACTGAAGTCCCATTCATAGTCCTACATTTACTGTAGAATTTTTTTCCCTGTTTCATTCATTACTGGTCACAAACCTCATAGCAAGCATGGCCCAATTCATAAACAAATCCTATGTGAGCAGTTGTGAAGACACGTGCTGCAGGAAGAGTTCCCTGTCCAGAAAAAAAGTAGCATCGATTTTCCCATCCCTGAGGGTATCCATGCTGGTGAGGAAGGCAGGGCTGAGCACAGGGACTGACCCAGCAGGGATGCTGCATCCTGATTTCTGTGCTCCATTCCGGAGACACCACTGGCTCAGTCATCATCTCCATGCACCCCCTGGCTGCTCTGATGAGGCTTTACATCCCAACAAATGAATTTTGAGTGACTGGTTTTCTCAGCTGGGGCTATTGGATGAGGTTATCACTTTCTTGTATCACAAAAGACATGAAACTCCTAAGGACACTCAGCCATCTATTGTGGTACGAATTTCTGCTGGGGAGTTGTTAGGAAAAGACCTGAACATCAGTGCCATCACTGCAGATGCTTCTCTGAGGTGAACAAAGGGTACCTTAATTGTGTCTACTCAAAGGAATTCCAGTTGTTTCAATATATTTTTAAATCATGTTTCCATCTTAAAAAACGTAAAATTATATTTTACATTGGAAGATGAGGAGTTGTTGCTAGAAAGATTGAACCCCTGTAGAGACTTGTAGATCATTTGAACCCTCATTGAATGAGTGAATCATTTGAGTTTTAGGACTGTGGTTTGGGTGATGCTGCCTGTGCTTGGGTTGGCCACATGATTAGTTCCTACTGTTCAGTGAGTGGCAAACTCAAATACAGGCTGGGCAGAGGATGGATCAAGAGCAGCCCTGAGGAGAAGGACTTGGGTTCTTGGTTGACAAGAAGCTCAACATGACCTGCAACGTGCAGTCACAGCCCAGAAAGCCAACTGTATCTTGGGCTGCATCAAAAGGAGTTAGGCCAGCAGGTCAGTGGAGGGGATTCTCAGCTCTTGTTTGACCTCACCTGGAGTGCCATGCCCAGCTCTGGGCCCCCAACATGGGAAGGACATGGACCTACTGGAGAGAGTCCAGAGGAGGCTACAAAGATGCTCAGAGGGCTGAAGCACCTCTGCTAGGGAGACAGGCTGAGAGATCTGAGGGTGTTCAGCCTGGAGAAGACCTTGGAGCTCTTTTCAGTGTCTAAAGGGTCTACAAGAGAGCTGGAGAGGGACTTTTTAAAGGGCAGGGAGTAATAGGACAAAGAGGCTTCAAACTGACAGAGGACAGGTTTAGATTAAATGTCAGGAAGGACTTCTTTATTGTGAGAGTGCTGAAGCCCTGGCACAGGTGGCCCAGCTAAGCTGTGGATGCCCCATTCCTGGAAGTGTCCAAGGCCAGGTTGGATGGGGCTTGGAGCAACTGGTCTAGTGGAAGGTGTCCCTGCCCATGGCAGGGGCTTGGAACAAGATGATCTTTAAGGTCCTTTCCAATCCAAACCATTCTGTGACTCTGTGGAACCACAGCAAACAGGACTGCGTGTCTCAGATCCCAGGGGAAAAAACAGGCATTTTGTTTAAAAAGCAGCACTTTAACACATCCAGCTATCTCACACTCCACAGTTTGTTGTTGAGGGCTGTTGTGGAGTGACTGACTCACCTGTTGGATGAGGCAAATGCACAAGAGTCCCTTTTCCTCCTGCCTTGCCCAGAAATCCCTCACAGTTGCTGTGCCTGTGTGGGTTGGTTTTTCCCTGAATCCATTTAAATCAGAGCTTCCCTGGCTGGAATTTCATCTAGGTGCTCTACCTACCACTGATAAGATGCCAAAACCAAACAAGGGTTTGTTGTTTCGTGGTGAATGAGGCCTGCAGTTTAGTTCAATTGAGCATTTGCTATCCGGGAAAGGGGTTTGTCTCAGAATCTGTTTAATTTTACCTCCCAATGCTAAACCAAGGCTGGATGTGAATTTGTTTCTGCTGAGATCAGGGGAAGAGATGTCAATGACTTCATGGCCTGAGCTGGGACAGGAGCTGGGTAGGTGACAACTGAGGGCACTGAGGGCAGTGGGAACACTGCCAGCCCTTGGGGCTGCTGCAGGTCCAAAGCAAACCCTGCACTGCAGCTGTGAGCACTAAAACCCCATCGAAATGCTAATCAGGGGACTGTGGCACTAATGTCAGTGTACCTTAGGCAACCATGCAGTGTTCAGAAATGCATTTATGTATTGTAGCTCTTAAATTCATAGGACTTCAGGACCTTGTCCAATTTGCTGTAAATGTGACATTTATGTAAAGGGTCAGAAGAATGACAGTGAGTACTGACCCATGACTGGTACCTTATCCATATGTAGTGTGTGACCATTCTGCTGTCATAGCTGAGTTAGGATGGTTCTTCTAAAGCAAAAAGACTTTGCTATTAGCAAAAGTAGAGGTCCTGATAATGACAATATATCTATATCCATTCTCCAAGTTTCTCTGTTGGGTTTTTTTATGGCTGTTGGTTTGTTTGGGTGTTTTATGCTTTTTGAAGCGTATTACCCAGTAGTCAGTGAAATGGGTGGCTAAAGAGTACAAAGAACTGTTAATAGTAAAGGAAGTCATCAAAAGGGGAAACCAGTAACTACCACAATATGTGTAAGGCCTCTCCTAAGTATTCATTTTTAGAAAACTACATATGTGGAAGAGTGGTTTGTATTTGGTTATCTCAGTCATGTGCTGTCAAACAGCTGCATTTTAAGAGGGTTTCTTTTTCCCCTTTTTTAAATTGCACAAACAAAAAAGTTGAGGGCATAAGACTAAAAACACCATCTGCAATATACAATATGGCAAAATGATGGTAAAATAGAATACCCTCCCTAGAAATTGCTCCAAGGTTAAAGAGAGATTCCAGTGGAACTTGGGGAGATGTCACATCATGCTAAATTTGCAAATACAAATCTTTTAAAGAAAGTTAGCTTTTGTAGGCACGAGATGGAGGCACACGTGCACACAAATACACACACACTCATATATACTTGTTTACAACAAAAGCCAATTTTCTTTATATTTGTTGGCTTTAAGTTTTCACATTGCAAAAGAGAGTAAACAAAGACCAAAGATTTCAAGAAATCCATCCCTCTCTGGTTGCCCTCACGCCTGAAATGCATTAACTTTAATGGTGCTTTTTTTTTTTTGAACTGCGAAGGAGAAATACAGGTGTGTCATAAAGCTGCATTTGAGAGAGTAAACTGGCAGGAAGGCTCTAACTTGGTTAATGGGGAGAGGAGGAAATAATGTGAAAAATCTTGAAATGTGTGCAGAGGACAAGGTTATCTGAAATTTGAAATGTGAAGAAATAGCCCAGAACCAAAAGAGATCATCCTGGGCTGGAAGTATAAATAAACTGAGTAAATGGTGCTGGCTGTTCACTTACCTCCACTTGAACATTAGCAGATCAGGAGCTCCAGTGGCTGCTCAGTGAAGAAGAGTAGAGGAGTAACTGCTGTAATGATTTCATTTTGGAAGTACATACAGTAAAAACAATATAGAAAAAAAAAAAAAAGTCAGAGGTTGTAGTCTTTTTTTATGGCTGACATTTTAAATTTTGAAATGTCATCATCCAGAATTCAACCCCAGCAACCACAGGATGTGTTCTTGCCAAGCTTTGCCAAGCCCTGCTTTGGTGCTTTTTAACGTGAAAATACCATCCTTTTTATTGCCCTGGCTGTTGAGGTGCATGATCCTGGCAAGACTTGCATTTTAACCTTTTTCCCTCAGTTCTGAAATTGCTGTGTAATGTTTGGGTAGCTGGTGTCCTGCTGCACCTGCACCTGTGTGCAGTGACCAGCAGCCCCCAAATCCACATCGTGTCACATCTCAGTCCCCACAGAACCCCAAAACTGGGTGTAGCAGTGGCACTATGGTGAAATTCAGGACTTTCAGGTCAATTCTGTGTGGCACTTGCTGTTTGCACAGCTCAAGTAGCCAAGTTTATGGCTGTGAGTGGAGCAAGGTTAAAAACACTGATGTGGTGCTGATATTATTCAGCTAAGAGTGGAGTAAATTAAACAAAGGCAGGTAGGAGTGAAAGGGAAGAAAAAGTGAGACATCACCCTAATCACAGTAATGCAGCCAACTTCTCTGTCTCTTTGCACTATTATACTTTAAACTAACAACATCCACTTTACTAAATACAGTAGCGATTATGCTTGATCTTTCATGGTGCACAGTGGAATTACTGTCACTGAAACCACTTACAGCTTGGGCTGTTCAAGATTGCTGGGGTGTTGTTTCCGTCCGCAATAACCACAGTGGCTTGGGGCTGGGATGGAAATTGTTGTAAATAGCTTGTATTTAGAAAGCTTTTAAGTCTGCTGTGGTTGAGAAGCCCTCAGTTATGCACATACAGCCCTGAAGGTTTATCATTTCATCCTCTCCTGTCCTGCCACTTGAACTGTATTGTGCCCTTGTGAAAAGCAACACACTGTATAAAGAATACAGGAAAAGCTGTAGGATTTTTATCTGAAATGAGAAGAAAATATAATCTTGGTGCACCACTGAGATTTCTCATCCAAGTCACTTTAAGCTAGGGGTGCAAGTCCCTTAAAAATTAATTTGCTGCAAGTGTAACTCCTGTGGGAAAGTTAGCACTGGTGTTGCTCCCAGGAAATGTCTCACTTTATTGCAGCTGGAAGCCAGGGGGTGGCTGGGGTTCTCTACCACCATTCAGTAGTGATGGGCTGCCTGTTCAGAGGAAGCCAGATTTCTGTTGAGGCAAATCCTCTCCACTGATTGAGCTTTTGTTAGCTTTTAAGTGGTATCAAAAAATAGGAAGGATACGTCCACTGTAATTGTATGTTTGCCTCACATTTAGTTGGTTAAAACTTTCTGCCAGGGAGAGAAAATATCAGAAGGAGAAATTTGTGTGAAAATGTTGTATTTACATTGTGCTACCAAATGCTTCAAATAAAACCATGCCACTTTAGTTAAACAGTCTTTTCTTCTGAGATTAAAAAGGACTCCTTGGAGCCTCTCATCGGGTCCTACCCAAATGGAAAGTCTTACCATTTCTAACATATTTGCCATTATAGGAACAATTCCATTGCAAAGCACAGGCCATGTGCATCTTTTCATGTAACAGGAATTTTAAATTGCATTGTACTCTCACATTTTTTCCCCATTCAAAGGCTTAAATGCCAATAGGAGATAAAGCACTCCGAAACCTGCTACTGCTAAATGCATTATTGCTTTCTAAAGCAATGTAGTTTCCTTGGTCTTTTAAAAATTTCCTCATAATGGAGTCCTTGAAATATCTTGAGGCAGGCTCACGCTGGAGAGCAAAAGAATAATTATTTGTGGGTGGTGCTATTTTTGTTGAAGCTTGGATTGAAAAAAATGTTGCTATCAGAGTTTCTCCCCACACTTACTTAGCTGCAAACACCACCACCCCCCAACCCCACGGCTAGATCTCTCTAGGGTGGCTGCCTTAGAGCAGGGAGTTACCTCCTGCACTAAACCACAGCCTGATAATTTTGTCTTCATCTAGGTCTTCCTCTGGGCTTGTGCACTTGATAACAATGCTGTCATGGACGTAACAGATAATAAAACTCTTCGGCAGTTTTAGTGATTTTAGAGATGATACAAATGATGTGTGTCTGCAGTCTGAGGGGTATAAATAACACTGGCATTTGTTGGGTGCTGTTCTAACAGGCCTTTGGCCACCTTGAGAGCAGTAACTCCTGAAGGTGCAGCCGAGTAGCTCTTAAAACCACCTCTGCTTTGCCCCGTTAATACCTGTACAGCATCCAAG